GAGAAAGGAGAGCTAAGGAGAACAGGTGTCAAAGTTATCCCACATGGCTCGATCTTGTAGAGGACAGAAGTGAGAGAGAAGATAAAGTAGTGGGTTTCGGTCTGTTAGTCCTAACCTTATTCTATTTGTCTTTTTTCTTTTTTTGCTCCACAGCCAAGGCCACAGGTATCAGGCCTGTTTTAAAACTAAAGATGCTTAAATTACCTCTAGACTAACCCTGGTGCTGATTCCATTAGGAATACACATCAACATCCTTCTTCTTAATCTAGCCTTAGGTCATACTTCAGTTCTTCTACCTAGACATCTACTTTAAATCTAGTCCCCAGCTATGTCCAGTGTATCTGGGTGGATGGCCCCTTTGGGCATTGCTCTTAGTCCTTTCCCAGTTCTCTTCCAGCAACTGGAAGATTGTGAACTCTTGACAATCTTTATGTCCTCACATTCCATAAAAGCCCTGTCCCCACATCCTAAACAAGCAGATCTTCCTAGTGCCAAATGTTTGTGCAGACATCCAGGTGTAATTCACCCACATGCTAAAATATCCTGATATTTCATTTTGCTCACTCCTATGTAGAGACTGCTTTCACCCTTAGGAACTGCCTTTTCTATGAGCATCTACATCTGGATTTGTTCTCCCAGTGCCCACCCTATTCAGATGGCAGATTCAGTTCGGTTCTGTGTCCCCACGCATATCTCATGTTGAATTTTAATCCCCACTGTTGGAGAAGGGACCTGGTGGCAGGTGACTGGATCATGCATGCTGTCCTTGTGATAGCGAGGGAGTTCTCACAAGATCTGATGGTTTAAAAATGGCAGTTTCCCCTGCACGTTCTCTCTCTCCTGCTGTCAGGTAAGAAAGACATGCCTTGCTTCCCCTTCACCTTCTGCCATGATTGTAAGTTTCCTGAGGCCTCCCAGTTATGTGGAACTGTAAGTCTGTGGTAGGCCAGGTTTCTGTAACAGTTGAACAGAGAGGCCTCCGTAACAACTGTTCCAGCACTGACTGAGTGGTTATGTTAAATATTAAAAGCTGATAGAGCAGTGCCCTTACACAAAGGCTGGAATGTAACAAAAGCCCACCAAGAGTTTTGAACAGGCCTTTCCTAGGCCTTGAAGCACAACAAGATAATGAAGGAATTTTTAACAGGACCTGTTTAGGATTAAACAAGTTTTACTGGGGGTCTGAAGAAACTCCTCAGGTCTCCGCAAACGACTGGGGATCTGAAAGAACTCTCCAAACCTCCGTGATTTAGCAGGAGACAAGATAAGAGTAATCATCCCAGGACCTGGACCATTTAGATTTAGTAAATTCACTGAGGCCCCAGAGGAACATCTTCAGGACTCAGATCTTAGTTATAAATTAAAGGAAGTTAATCATTTATGTCTTTAGATGAATGCATTTGCACGTAGACATGTAGCTTAGAAGATATATAAGCTCTGGAAAACAGTAATTTTGAGTTGGTCTGGCAGTAATTTCCAGGTCTTCTCCCTGTTACTGGTTACAGAAATAAACTCCCCTTTCTCCCAGTTCATCTGCATCTGGTTATTGGGCCGCAAGAATAAGCAGCCTGACCCTTGGTTTGGTCCAGGAACAAAGTCAAGTAAACCTCCTTTCTTTATAAATTACCCAGTCTCAGCTAGTATCTTTATAGCAGTGTGAAAATGGACTAATACACAGCTCCTTCCTGATAACCCCAGCATGCTAAAATAAAGCCCACACCTGTCCGAATTTGAAATCCATGACACAGGCCCTTAGTGGAGATCCTTATATGCCAAAGCCAAAGTGTTACTTAATTTAGTAAGGAAAGTCACAAGAAACTTTGAAACAAGCAGTCCCACACAATCAGGGTTACAGATTAAACTGATACTGTGTGTGGAATGGACTGGAGAGTTTTATTGGGGTAGAAGATAACCCTAACTTGTTTACACTTTTCACATGCATTCCATTCTATCTTCATAATCAGCTTGGTTGGTCATATTTTCCACAATCTTCTGAAGTTCTAGAGTCAAAACTTGGATGGTGTATTCCTAACAGGATCTATCCAGTAACAACCATTTTAGACCATGAAGCATTATATCACCCTTACCTGAGTCTCACTATTGTAAGAAATTTGGCACATTCTTCTTTTTTTTTTTTCATTTTATAATGCTCTTTATTTGATTAAAGAATTTGCCTTCTTTGTATACACTGGAATGTTATATTCCCTATGTATTTTACAGGGTTACAAAATGTCTCTCATTTTAAATATTACCCCAAAGTAATCTCAGAAAAAAAATTTGAAATTAAACTTGACTTTTAAAAAATCATATGGACGAGCAACTTTCAAACAAAACTGGATTAGTAGGATTTCTTGCCTACTTAGCTACATGACAGACTTCTTGTCCCAGGCCCCATTCTTAGAAAAACCTCATGTGGAAACCAAGCTAGAGATAAGAATTCTTCCCTGATGCAGTTAGGGGAAAGGGAAAGGCTGGAAACGTCTTTGGCAAGCAATTCCATACCCAGCTATTTATGAGTGAGTGCTCTGCTTCAAGTATAGTACACTCTTTGCAGGGAAGGCCAGATGTTGTTCAGAGTGGGAGTGGTACTTTTCAACAGCTAAAAGTGCAGAAGTCATCTAGTCGTCGGCCTCTTCCCACTGCCATTGCCTGCAGCCTTGCAGTAACTTTTCACCTATGTATGGACTGCAATACTGAGTTAAAAGCCAAGGCTGAGCTGGCTGATGCTATAGTCTCTAATGAAAAGGTAATAGATGAGATGGAACTGAGAAAACTCCAGTACATGATGACACTCAAAAGTCTTAGGGGGAAGAGAAAGAAGGATTTCAGAGATGTAGACAGATAGACTGGTGGAAAATGTTGGGATGACTGAAAGGAAATGGGGTATACATGAGTAATCTGTACATACCAATATAATCAGTTGCCTCCTGAAATCCAAAAATCGAATGGTGAAATGGAGCCTCCTTGATAGTTTAGGGCCAACAGGATTGGCACAAAGATTCAATGAACCCACAGCCTTCAAAATCACAACCTCATTTCTGTTAGGAGAGGACTGATGACAGAGAGAGCAGACTGGAAGAGGGAGGTGGTGAAACTGAGGAAGGTGAATGGATTAGAAAGACTGAGGGTATTATATTTTAGCTTGAGTGCCTAAAATATGGAGAACTGAAAATTTGGGTAGCAACAGCAGCAGACATGATTACATGTGGATGTGAAATCCCTAACTGGACAGACATAACCATTGTTTTAGACATCTTGAAGAGGGATTGTGCCATTTGAAAAGTGCTTCTCAGCTACCTTTAATATTGACACAAGTGGGATTCATGGTACTGTTCTAAACTGGAAGGACAGACCTTGAAAGGAAAACAACTTGGCAAAGAGATGAAGGAATGAATGGATAGGGGAAAGGGACAGAAGACATCCGTATCTTTTAACTCCTAGGCCCCATACCTCTCAAACAGCTCACCCGAATACTCCAAAAATCAAGAATGGGTTAGATATACTTGTTCCAGAAGTGCCAGATAAATACAATGCCTGTAAACAGATGACCCCAGTGGCACATTATTCTCTACAGCCAATCTGCCCTCACCGTCCTGATTTGCTTGGAACTGTTGTTGTAGCTTTCCAACACTGTAGGAACGTTCTTAGTGCCAGGCAAACTGGAATAACTGGTCACCCTACTCTGGGCAAACCAAAATGGTTGGTCACCTTACATCTGAAGGACCTAGAAGCTAATAAATAGCCAGGACTTTCGTGTATGGTTGGGAGTTCACATGCTTTACAATTGCTCAGTAAAATGATGGCAGCTACTTGTGTGACCAATGGCCAGAATTAGGATAAAATATATAGCCATCAACACAAGCCCAGCGCGGCAGGGCTCACCCTCTCACCTAGGCCTCATTAGCGCCACACCAGGTTATTCACCTGGGCTTCTTAACACTTTCACCTGAACCTGAAAATGATGCATCTGTAATTTACTAAGTGAGAATAAGGGAGTCACATTTTTTAAAATACCAGTCCTATACTCAAAAATAATTTTTAAACTATATTTTTACAGTAGGGGAAACTGCACAATAAAATATTTTGAAATCAGCCAGGTACAGTGGCTCATGCCTGTAATCCCAGCAGTTTAGGAAGCCAAGGCAGGAAGACTGCTTGAGCCCAGGAGTTTGAAACCAGCCTGGGCAACACAGTAAGATCCTGTCTCTATTTAAAAAATAAATAGGCCAGGCGTGGTGACTCGTGCCTGTAATCCAAGCACTTTGGAGGCCAAGGCGGGTAGATCACCTGAGGTCGGGAGTTCAAGACCAGCCTGACCAACATGGTGAAACCCCATCTTTTTAAAAAAAAAAAAAAAAACAGGCAGGGTGTAGTGGCTCGCCCCTGTAATCCAAAATTTGGGGAGGCCGAGACAGGTGTATCACCTGAGGTCAGGAGTTCGAGACCAGCCTGGCCAACATGGTGAAACCTCATCTCTTCTAAAAACACAAAAAATTAGCCAGGCCTGGTGGCAAGTGCTTGTAATCCCAGCTACTTAGGAGAGACTGAGGCAGGAGAATGGCTCAAACCTGGGAGGTGGAGGTTGCAGTGAGCCGAGATCTAGCCATTGTACTCCAGCCTGGGCAACAAGAGTGGACTCCATCACAAAAAAATTAAAAATCAAAAACTTCTTAAAATCTACTTTCCCATCTCACTGTCTATATATATCTTGCATTCCAAAAATGTTCCTTCTAATATCTCTTCTTTGGCTCTGCCAACCCAACCCATGTAAGCTACTTTTTGCTACCACTCCCAACATACTGCCCGCAACATACTCATATACATTACTGATTACATCACAAATTATCCAGCATTAAGATATGACTGCAGTAAATTTTATCAACATTTAAAAATGCAGTATCAGAATACAAGACAATACTTATTTATATTTTAATTTATGCTTATATTTGGTGACCAGATGACACAAGCTTTAAAGATTAAAAATAAAACAAAACACTTACCTTCCAGAAAAGTCTTTTCAGAATGAAGTTTTTCTGGGCTGCTACTTTAAGTTCCATAATTAAAGAAAGTATCCTCCTCAAAGATTTGTCTTTAAGAAAAAGCTCAGATTTAAGTTGGCTGAAGTGCTTAATTTTCTCCTCAGTCCTACAGAAACACAAGAAAGTTTTCCATGTAAAAAATGTTCTCCTTTGTCCAATCAATGAGTTGTTCTTATTAATCCAAAAACTAAGCATTCTGAAAAAAATGGTCTGTTTTCTAGTGGAGATGCTGGAGGGAAACTGATCATTATGAATTCAATAATAGCAAGCAGAGAGGCGAGGAACATGATGATCATGAGTATGAAGACTAAGGTCAGAATCCTAGACCTGCCGCTGCTCAGTTAGGTCATTATCATGAGCAAGTTACATAGCTTCTCTGTGCCTCCATTTCCTCATGTGTAAAATGGAATAATGATAGTACCTACCCAAATATGCTGGGTTTTTTTTTTTTTTTTTTTCCGAGACGGTGTCTCAGTCTGTCACCCAGGCTGGAGTGCAGCGAGGTGATCTTGGCTCACCACAACCTCCACCTCCTGAGTTCAAGTGATTCTCCTGCCGCAGCCACCTATGTACATAGCTGGGATTACGGGCGTGCACCACCACGCCTGGGTAATTATATGTATTTTTAGTAGAGATGAGGTTTCACTCTGTTGGCTAGGCTGATCGAACTCCTGAACTCAGGTGATCCACTCACCTTGGCCTCCCAAAGTGCTGCGATTACAGGTGTGAGCCACCGCACCTGGCCAAATGTGCTGTTTTGATACTTTAGTTAATGCATGTCCTTCAGACACACTAAGTATTTGATAAATGGTCTCATAAAACAGGAATAAGTTTGAGATCCTGCTTTCCTATCCACATCTAATTACCATCGTATTTCATTAAAAAAAAAACTATAAAATCCTTTTACTCTCTGAGAACTCCAACAACAGAAATGTAGTTTTTACAAAAGAGCTTAGAAAAGCAAAAGCTCAGATAAGATACAATATCAGCAGAATTATTTTGAATTGATTTTCCTGTTTTTTCATTCATAGTCAGCAATTTGCTAAGATCCACAATAAAAATAAACTGTTTTTAATCCTTTGCCAACTAGGATAATAGACAGTAATGCCAAACTAATTTCTTTATGGCCAAAAAAGTTTTCACAGAAAACAGCACACTAATCTCTTCAGACTAAAAATCAATTCATACATAAATTGAGGTCTCATATACATCATAAATTCAAGTTAGAGTACACATTCTATATTACTGCAGATAAGTTATGAATAATAACATTTTCTTTGAGGATTCAGAAAATATTTGCTTATACATAGATAACAAACTTCATTTGACTAATTTAAATAAGAAGTCGAATGCCAGAAGTCTCCATTATTCAGCTTAGGAATAAGAGGAAAATCTATACAAATGTTAACAGATACTCTATTTTCATCACGTAGAAAACATAAATTCGGCCGAGCGCAGTGGCTCACGTCTGTAATCTCAGCACTTTGGGAGGCCGAGGCGGGCAGATCACGAGGTCAGGAGTTCGAGACCAGGCTGACCAACATGGTGAAACCCTGACTCTGCTAAAAATACAAAAATTAGCCGGGCATGGTAGCACAAGCCTGTAATCCTAGCTACTCAGGAGGCTGAGGCAGGAGAATTGCTGGAACCTGGGAGGTGGAGGTTGCAGTAAGCTGAGATGGTGCCATTGCACTCCAGCCTGGGCAACAAAACAAGACTCCATCTCAAAAAAATGAAAAGAAAGAAAGAGAAGGAAGGAAGGAAAGAAAGAAAAGAGGGAATGAAAAGGAAGGAAGAGAAAGAAAGAAAAGGAAGGAGAGAGAGAGAAAAAAGAGAAAGAAAGAAAGAAAAAAGAAAAAGAAAACATAAATTCAGCAAAATAATGTTGCCGGAGGGTTTTGGGTTTGCTTGTTTGTTTGTTTTGAGACAGTCTCACTCTGTCACCCAGGCTGGTTTCAAGTGATTCTCATGCCTCCTGAATAGCTGGGACTACAAGTGCATACACACCCTGCCCAGCTAATTTTTGTCCTTTTAGTAGCAATAAGGTTTTGCCATGTTGGCCAGGCTGGTCTCAAACACCTGCCCACCTTGGCCTCTGAAAGTGCTGGGATTACAGGCATGAGCCACTTCACCCAGCCGCAGGAAGGATTCTTAATCTAATAAGCTCTATTTTTCCTGTATTTTTTCATCTTTCCAGACATTTACTATAAATAATACCTCAAATTTGCAAAATGCTGGAAAGGCTCTTCCTGTATTATCTCAGAAGTGCTGTGTAGGATGTTCACAATGGTCAAGCTGCAGAACCGTCCCATCTGTGACACAGTTTCTAAATTGAAAACCTAAAGGATATTTATTCCTTTTAAATTGAAGATGCCTTGCAGATAGAGACTATCTCTTGTGTATCACAGCATCCTTCACAGTGCATTTGAAATCACTTCATTTTAAGTATGTTGCCTTCAGGAATTAACTTGGAAGAAATATGCTTTTCCTGAGTCAAGAGAGTGCTAGAACTCATCCTTCTTGCCTTCAGGAATAAATTTCAAGCCACACATACACAAAATTTGAGTCTGTTTTCTCATACAATTAGTTTTAAAACCACTATAAGTAAAACACTAAAATGAAAACTGATACTTTTTTTAAAGTAAACATATGAAAACCTGTAGAAATTTTAAGTTATCCATAGAACCTTTTTAAAAAGACACTTTGGGAGGCCCAAGTGGGCAGATCATCTGAGGTTGGGAATTTGAGACCAGTCTGACCAACATGGAGAAACCCTGTCTTTACTAAAAATATAAAAAATTAGCTGGATATGGTGGTGCATGCATGTAATCCTAGTCTCGAAGTCCTGACCTTAGGTGATTCACCCACCTCGGCCTCTCAAAGTGCTAGGAGTATAGGTGAGAACTACTGCACCCGGCCTCATTTCTTATTTTTTTTCTGATACTCAAGTTGTCCCATCTTTGACTACTGGGAGCTCCTTCATGTGGGTTCCTGTGCCCTTTACTTAGGGCCCTGTCCTTTCTTTCTGGAACAAACTGTTTCAGACTTATTTTGTGTATGTCCTGCCCGAGACCTAGAATGTCCTCTAAGGAACGTTGGTTCCTTTTAGTGGGGAATGAACAAGCATCTTTTAAAATTAACTTACTCTCAGCTCATTTACATGATTCTCCAATATACCTCACTATCAGAAATGTCACAAAATTTGCCCATGACCTACATAATATCAAAATTGCTAACACTGTCAATTCACTGAGTGCTTACTACATGCAAAGCACTGTTTTCAGTAAGAAAAAGACCAAGAGTAACAAGATATAGTCTTTCCCTTCCAGGGGCTCACAATCTAATGAAAGAGATTCACATCACAAGTAACTACTACAACATACAGCCCACCTGTGATCAGAACATAGCAGAACTCTGAAGTCTGGATAAAACGCAAACTCCTTAGCCTTGCATATAGGTCCTTTTACGATCCGTTCTTAGTCTCTATCTTATTTATCCATTCTTTCTAGGGTCCCTGCCTTTACGGAACATAATGCATAATAGGGCATCAGATAATGAACAAGCAATCATAATACAGACTGGTAAGTGTTACAGGATGTGTGAGCAGGCCGGGTGTGGTGGCTCACCCCTGCAATCTCAGCACTTTGGGAGGCTGAGGCTAGAGGATCATGAGGTCAGGAGTTTGAGACCAGCCTGGCCAACATGGTGAAACCCCGTCTCTACTAAATATATAAAAATTTGCTGGGCATGGTGGCAGACACCTGTAATCCCAGCTATTTGGGAGGCTGAGGCAGGAGAATTACTTGAACCTGGGAGGCAGAGGTTACAGTGAACCAAGATCACACCACTGCACTCCAGCCTGAGCAACAGAGCAAGACTCCATCTAAAAAATAAAAATAAAAAAATATGAGCATAGGACATTATGGAGGAGTCCCTCCTAACTTATTTCTGGAGTATCAAGAAAGATTTTCAGAGAAAATGATAAATAAGCTGAGACTTGATGAGTTGGAAGTTATTCAGGAAGAGGAAGAAGAGTAGAGTAGTGTTACAGAACAGGGGCCATTATGGTAGGCCCCAGAGGCAAGAGAACAGGGAACTTGCTGAGAATTGTGAGAAGTTCATTTGGAGCAGGAGCTTAGGGAAGGAGCGAGGATGAATGCATCAGTTGAGGACAGAAAGACAAAAAGAGATGTCATACATATTTTTGTACACTGTTTAGCCTTTCACCTAAGGACAATGGGAAGCCATTCAAAGGCTTCCTGGGAGGAGTTACATGATCAGATTTGTGCTTCAGAAAGATTCCTAGGCTGTAGTGGAGAATGGGGCTGGAGAGAAGCAAGAGTGAAGGCAGAGAGATCAGCTAGGAAAACACTGTAGGAGCCCAGAACTGAGATAACCGGGCCTGGGCAAGTGGCCATGGAAAGAAGTGGATGTTACCCAGCGATACTAAAGGCACAATAAATAAGGCATGCTGTGACTGACTGGATGCAGGAAACGATGAAGGGGAGAGAGGAGGCAAGAGTGACAACTAGGACTCTTGCTTAGGTGATCTGGGGATAATGACACCAGTCCCTGTGTTAGGAAACACAGAAGGAAAGTCAGGTTCCAGAGGGAAGATGCTGAGTTCTCTTCTGAATATGTTGACTTTAAGGTTCCTGTGAGACATACAAAAGATGTCCAGTGGATACTTGTGTTTGTGGACTTAACTGTCAGGGCAGGCAGATGAGGTAGAGGTATAATTGTGATAGCCACACATACAACACAGTTAGGAGAGGCAAAGAGGGCCCCGCACGGTGACTCACACCTGTAATCCCAGCATTTTGGGAGGCCGAGTAGGGCGGCTCGCCTGAGATCAGACCAATCTAACCCACCTGGCTAAAGTGGCAAAACTCCTGTCTCTACTAAAAAATACAAAAATTATCTGGGTATGGTGGTGGGTGCTTGGAGTCCTAGCTACTGAGGAGGCTGAGGCAGGAGAATCTCTTGAGCCAAGGAGGTTGAGGTTGCAGTGAGCCGAGATTGTGCCACTGCACTCCAGCCTGGGTGACAGAGCATGACTCAGTCTCGAAAAAAAAAGAGAGGCAAAGAGGAAAGAAAAATCCCCCATACAACTCTATCATGTATCATCACGTCTTACCTATATAGCTTTTGACTTCCAATAACAGGACTGAACTCACTAACGTAGAGGGGATCTTGTAAAAGGGTAGCTTTCTGAAAGAGGAAAAAGTGGAAATTGTTAGAATTTTTATTTACTGATAATCAATTCCCCCTATCTTTAGTCAATATTATATATCTATTCTTTAATCCCCCCTATAGTACATGATTTGTTTATAAAACTCATTCTGGCCAGGCACGGTGGTTCACGCCTATAATCCCAGCACTTTGGAAGGCTGAGGCAGGTGCACTATGAGGTCAAGCGATCGAGACATGGTGAAACCCCATCTCTACTAAAAATACAAAAATTAGCTGGGCATGGTGATGCGCGCCTGTAATCTCAGCGACTCGGAAGGTTGAGGTAGGAGAATTGCTTGAACCCAGGAGGCGGAAGTTGCGGTGAGCCGAGATCGCGCCATTGCACTCCAGCCTGGGTAACAAGAGCGAAACTCCATCTCAAAAAAAAACTCATTCTAGGGCTTAATACTACCACAGGAAAGTTTTAAATATAACACTTGCTCATTATAAAATGAAATTATTTATCAAAATCACACAGTTTAGAAATGCATAAAGTAAAAGATAAAAGTTCTCTGTTTTTCCCTACCCTTTCCATCCCACTATTCAAAGTGTCTGATCATGGAGCCAGGTGCCGTAGCTTGCACCTGTAATCTCAGTTACTTCAGAGGCTGAGGCAGGTGGATCACATGAGTCCAGGGGTTGGAGGCTGCAGTGAGCTATGATTGTGCCACTACACTCCAGCCTGGGCAGCAGAGCAAGCCTTTGTGTCTAACATTTTAAAAATTATCTATTGCCCAGGGGCAGTGGCTCATGCCTGTGATCCCAACACTTTGGGAAGCCAAAGCAGGTGGATAATGAGGATAGTGAAATGGTGTCTACTAAAAATATATAAATTAGCCACCTGTAATCTCAGTTGCTTGGGAGGCTGAAGCAGAAAAATTGCATGAGCCTGGGATGTAGAGGTTGCAGTGAGCCGAGATTGCACCACTGCACTACAGCCTGGGTGACAGAGCGAGACTCCGTCTCAAAAAAAAAAAATCTATTATCAGTTTGGTTTAAGTCCTTCCAGGCATATAAAGACACATGAATTATAAACACATATATTTATAGTATTTATATATTTTTATAATATATATTTAATCCTAGAGAAAGTATATCACATACATTAATCTAGAACTTGATTTGTTTTCACTTAATAGAGAGTAGATCGTTTCTCATGTCTGTATATATAGATTTACCTGATTTACTTCAATTTTTTTTTCTTTTTTGAGATGGAGTTTCACTCTTGTTGCCCAGGCTGTAGTGCAATGGCATGACCTGGGCTCACCACAACCTTTGCCTCCTGAGTTCAAGCAATTCTCTTTTCTCAGCCTCCGAGTAGCTGGGATTACAGGTGCGTGCCACCACGCTCAGCTAATTTTTGCATTTTTAGTAGAGACGAGGTTTCACCATGTTGGCCAGGCTGTCTCAATCTCTTGACCTTGTGATCCTCCTGCCTCAGCCTCCCAAAATGCTGGGATTACAGGCATGAGCCACCACACCCAGCCTCAATTTTTTTTTTTTAAGTGACAGAGTCTAACTCTGTCACCCAGGTTGGAGTACAGTGGCATGATCATACCTCACTGTAGCTTCAAACTCCTGGGCTCAAGCAGTCCTCCTGCCCCAGCTTCCTGAATAACTAGGATTACAGACATGTTCTACCATGCCTGGCCAATTTTTTACTTTTTATTTTTTAGTAGAAATGGGATCTTGCTATGTTGACCGGATGGTCTTGAATTCCTGGCCTCAAGCGATCCCCCTTCTAGAGCCTCCGAAAGTGCTAAGATTTCAGGCATGAGCCACTGCATCCAGCCAATATCAGTCGTTTTAATGATTTATTATTCCATAGCATAGATATACAACACTTTTGTTAACTCTTTCCTTATTAATGGAGTTATTTTTTGTTAAATCTTTAGTGTTGCCATTGCTCATTTATTCTCAAAATAGTCATATAGCGTTCAGCAATTCCTCAAAATAATCTTTTATTTATGCTGAGGCTTAACAAGCCAGGTCAGAAGGAATTTCTGAAATGTTGCTAATTGGACAGACTTAACCCTGTCTTATTCTCTTTTTTTTTTTTTTTGAGTCAGAGTTTCACTCTTGTCATCCAGGCTGGAGTGCAATGGCGTGATGATCTCAGCTAACTGCAACCTCCACCTCCCAGGTTCAAGCAATTCTCCTGCCTCAGCTTCCTGAGTAACTGGGATTACAGGTGCCCACCACCATGCCCAGCTAATTTTTGTATTTTTAATAGAGATGGGGTTTCACCATGTCAGCCAGGCTGGCCTCAAACTCCTGACCTCAGGTGATTCACCTGCTTCGAGCCACCAACCTGTCGTATTCTTAATATGAGAGTGGTGTAGTGGGTGGATGGTGGCAGGGGAGATATGTGCTTTCTCTTACTACTTTTGTCATTGTTCTATGTTGTTGTTTTTTTTTTTAAGGCAGCCTTTCTTCCCTTTGCAAATATTTACGCTTTCCTTAAATCCAGAATTTTAATTTGGGGCATCCCATATTTAGCTTTGTAGCAGTTATCGTCACAATACGTTCAAGGCAAAGAATTAACACATTTCATCTTTACCGAATTTAAGGTGCTCAGCAACCCAGATGTAATTATTTTTGGTGAAAGTTACAGGTAAAACAGATTACTGAAGGAGGCTCAATTCTTTGGAAACCCTTAAAATCAGGATGAGTGCTGATAATTTCTAAATAGATGGTTTGGGTTAATTCTATCTAAAAGTACAGAGAAAGTTAAAATGTCTAGTTTGGTCAGGCACAGTGGCTCATGCCTGTAATCATAGCACTTTGGGAGGCCGAGGTGGGCAGATCACCTGAGGTCAGGAGTTCAAGACCAGCCTGGCCAACATGGCAAAATGCTGTTGCTACCAAAAATTAGCCAGGAGTGGTGGTGCATGCTTGTAATCCTAGCTACACGGGAGGCTGAGGCAGGAAAATCACTTGAACCCAGGAAGCAGAAGTTGCAGTGAGCCGAGATCATGCCATTGCATTTCAGCCTAGACTACAGAGCAAGACATTGTCTCAAAAAAAAAAAAAATGTCTAATTCATTTTCTCAGAAACATTTCTCTACTTTAGCATGAAAGAACATACCAGATTTCAAGGCACAAAAGATCAATTACCCAAAATAATTCTCTCTGACTTAGGAGTAAATTTTTTCTCAACTCCCTAAAATTTGTCAATACATCACAATACTAACCAAAGGTGACTAAGCTGGTAAAAAAATTTAACAATGTCTCTGCAAAGATGGAATTAAATTTAAAAAAATACAATAATGTCACCAAATAAAGTGGGTGGATGGTTTTAAAAGTGTTTATAAACTGGGCGCGGTGGCTCATGCCTGTAATCCCAACATTTTGGAAGGCTGAGGTGGGCAGATCACTTGAAGTCAGGAGTTCGAGACGAGCCTAACCAATATGGTGAAACCCTGTCTCTACTAAAAATACAAATATTAGCTGGGCATGGTGGCGGTGCCTGTAATCCCAGCTTCTCGAGAGTCTGAGGCAGGAGAATTACTTGAACCCGGGAGGCAGAGGTTCCAGAGAGCCAAGATCGTAGCACTGCACTCCAGCCTGGGTAACAAAAGCAAAACTCCATCTAAAAAATAAAAGCATTTATACTGAACTAGTAGCTTGTTAGTAGAATGAATTCTAACTTGATTCCTCACTTACATGTGAAATATTTGCTTATTCATTTTCCATCTTTCAAGGAAGGGATAGAACATTATTGTAATTTTTTTTTTTACTTCTTATTTTACTTTTTAAAAATTTTATTATACATATATTTTTAAAGACAAGTCTCACTCTGTCACCCAGGCTGGAGTACAAGTGGCACAGTCTTGGCTCACTGCAGCTTCCACCTCTCAGGCTCAAGTAATCCTCCTGTCTCAGACTCCCAAGTACACACACACCACAAGCCTGGCTAATTTTTTGTAGAGATGGGATCTCACCGTGTTGTCCAGGCTGGTCTCGAACTCGTGAGCTCAGGCGATCTACCCGCTTCAGCCTCCCAAAGTGCTGGGATTACAGGCATGAGCCACCACACTTGGCCTTAGTTTTTATTTTAAAGATGAGGTATTGCTTACTTCCCAGGCTGGAGTGCAGCAGTGTGCAGCAGAGTTTCCAATTCCTGGGCTCAAATGTTCCTCCCATTTCAGCTTCTTGAGTAACTAGTACTATAGGTGCATGCCACCATACCTGGCTAAGAGAACTTAATTTTCAATGATAGTATCTACCAACTGATAGTCTTCCTCTACCCACTTTTTTTTAATGGCCATAGGGGAAAAAAAATCAGACTACCTGGATTCAGCTCTACACTAGCTATGTGACATTGCAAATTTTATTTAATTTCTCGGTGTCTCAATTTCCTCATCTATAAAATGGGAATAACAGTCCTATCTCATAGGATTGTTGTACAAATTAAATAAGTTAATATCCATGAAGCATCAGGCTCTGTTCTATTGTTATTATCTAGTAGGAAAATAGCAATAGATATTAGTTATTGTTATTGCGTTTTTTATTGCAAAGACTATTTATAGCTTAGCAGGTAATGAGTTGGCCAGTCTGAGTGCTCTAACCATGCCTCTGCTGCAGAATTAAAAAGCAGTGCTAAGACCTGCAGCTGGGCAATTCCGGGATACAAACGGTTATTCTGAAGTCTTTATATAGATTTTTTTAAGTAAATTAAGTTTTGGCTTTTCTACTAGAATATAGGAGATTTTTTCTTAATAGACCAGAGTTTTTCTCTATTTTTAATTTGTTTACATTTTTAATTTGAAGAAAGTGTTTAAAAATTTAGAAAGAAATTTTAAATATTTGAAATCTTCCAAATGGTGGTGTGAGAAAAAAATTAATAGTTGTCTTGTAATTTTCATAATTTTTAGCCATTTATAAAACCCTGGCTTCCTAGTTTCTTCTAATTGATATAGACCTTTATAATAATTATTATTATTACATTGAAAGATCACTAATAAAAATTATACTACTGAAGATAAAGGGATTGTATAACTCTTTTAATAATTACTTGTTTTTTAAACCATCTAATAAAACTGTCTAATAAAAAGGTCCTTAAAGGGGAGTTCTGACTCTGCCCCTAAAGTTATATAATCTTGAGTAAATCACTCAAAAATTTTGTGCTTCAGTTTCCTCATTTATAAAATCAGGACTTAGAATAGTGACCTCTGGATAAATTTATCTGATCCTGTAACAAGGTCTCCCCCATCAACCCACTTTCAATAGCACAACCAAGCAATACAGAAAAAACTGACAACATTGACACTTACCTGAGGTCTTTGTCACCCCAGCAACTGCAAAAGAACATCTGCTCACACATATTCCAAGATAAGACCTGTCTCCCTCCTTCTTCATGACTTCCATGACTTACCTTACTTACTTGCCCCTACAAAACCCCAGAGTTCTTTTGTTTGTTTTTGTTTTGTTTTGTTTTGTTTTGTTTTTGTTGAAGGGACAGAGTCTCCCTCTGTCGCTCTGGAGTGCAGTGGCACCATCTCAACTAACTGCAACCTCCGCCTTTAGAATTCAAGCGATTCTTGTCCCTCAGCCTCCCAAATTATTGTAATCCCAAAGCTGGGATTACAGGCGTGTGCCACCACACCCGGCTAATTTCTGTATTTGTTAGTAGAGACAAGGTTTCACCATCTTGGCCAGGCTGATCTCGAACTTCTGATCTCAAGTGATCCTCCCACCTAGGCCTCCCAAAGTGCTGGGATCACAGGCATGAGCCACCGTGCCTGGCCACAAACTGCTCATTAATGAGCATTTTTTCCTATTGCAATCACCTAAATAAAATAATCTCCTTAATTGTCCAGTACATTTTGTTTTTCACAATATTATTAAATTCCAAGGCTAAATTTCCAAAATGGGAGGTAAAGGAGGGAGGGCTGGTTTGCTCTAAAAAATAAAAAAATAAAAATTCAGATCAAGGTTAACTTAGGAGGACACTTACTATAATATAATTGTTCCACGAACTTTTTAAGTGCAGAAATATTGATGAGGTTATGGAAATAACATACAAATGAAGTTCTGACTCCTTTTTTTCTAGGTTTGAGTTGCTCTGTGAAGGGGAATCTAGGAGGGAATTTCCTAAGTAAAACTCATTTCCGTTCCCATTGCACTTGAAAGGAATTTCACTTATGGAGTCGTTGTGATCTGGAAGTCCCTGGGGTTCCTTTGTGTTTGTTATGCACGATGGCTCGCTGACAGCCTTGCCAGTAGCTGCTGCAGACTGAGAGCTCCTCCTGGAGGGGGAAGGTAGGGGTCGAAAGGCACCTTGGCCATGAAAGGACAGCTTTTTGAGGTCTGAATGAGGATAGAGAGTCGAGTCCTTGGATGGTGTACTGCTCTCCTGGTGATCCCTGTCAGGTAGAATTTAGTGTTAAACATGATCTGCAGAATTTCACAGTAAGCAACAAAGAGAAACTGTTGGCCCAACTGCAGTAGTTTAAGACTCTGAACGCAAATGTTTTCCTAAAAAGGCATGCTTGTTAAAACAAGGAAGTCATATAACTTCGCTGGTAATAACCCATTGACTAGAGGAGATATGATACTGTAATCTTTTAGTATACTTTTCTGTTTTCAGAAATAAACTACATTTCTGAAATACATTTTATTTCATATATTGAAGCACTTTCTATGTTGAAAGGATTGTGCCTGTCCTTCATGGAGCCCTGATATTTCCACTGAAAGGACTTTTTCATTCTAGTTTTGAAACCTGATTGTCCTTTAGTTGTACATTGCTAATGGATCCTATAAAGAAAAAACTATTCAAATAGGAATATGAAGAGAGGGTTTTGTTTGTTTGTTTGAGAGAGCATCTCACTCTGTCACCCAGGCTGTAGTACAGTGGTGTTATCTCAGCTCACTGTAACCTCCACCTCCCAGGCTCAAGTGATTCTCCCACCTCAGCCTCCTGAGTAGCTGTGACTACAGGCATTGGCACTACGCCCAGCTTATTTTTGTATTTTTTTGTAGTGATGGGGTCTCACTATGTTGCCCAGGCTGGTCTAAAACTCCTGGGCTCAAGTGATCTGCCCACCTCCAGCTCCACTTCCCAAAGTGCTGGGATTACAGGCCTGGGCCACTGTGCCTGGCCTGAGGTTTTTTTTAATGGTGTTTTCTTTAATTACCCTACTGCTAATACTCTTCACATATTCCCAATAGCATCAGCACTTTTTTTCAGAATCAATGCTCTGTCCTTTACCTTCCCTATTCTCTCCAGCTCACCATGATCTTTCTTTACTTTGGTACACAAGGAAACAAGTTAGAGAAGCTAAGAAGTTGCAGAGTATGGTGAGACCTAAATTCTAATCCTGTCTCTGCCACTTAATAGTTATGTGACCTTTGTTAAACAAAGTTTATGAGAGGCCATTGTGTTCAACTAGCCTCCTGCATGAGGTCCCAGCAGAACAGACCAAAATAGAAGGGAGTCCCCTGTGCCTAGTACCACTAATCAAACTGAACTTGGAAACTGACCAGTTTTCCAGAAAAACAGATTCCATTCAACCTAAGTCAATAATGAAGTAGTGTCCTCTGTTTTAACACTATAAGAACAGTAACTTGAAACAAGCAATCCAATTTTTGTCTTGTTTCCGCTTTCTTCAGTCTTCCTCTGCTTATAAAGTCAACCTCCCTTTCTCAGCTTTTCAGACCACTTCTCCCAATTCTAGAATCACAAATAAAACTAAATCTGTGCCCATTTTGTCTTTTGACATCTTAGTGGAACTAGGACTTGATTTCCTAATTTTAAAGTAATACAATAGGCCAGACGTGGTGGCTGATGCCTGTAATCCAAGCACTTTGGAGGCCAAGGTGGGCGGATCACCTGAGGTTGCCAGTTCAAGACCAGCCTGACCAACATAGTGAAACCCCGTCTTTAAAAAAATAAAATAATAATAATACAATAATAGCACCCATCTCATAAGGTTTCTGTGAGGATACATGCAATGAGTTTGCAAAACTGGAAACAATATGTGCAAACTATTACTGTTACCCTATATTGCCTTGAGTTGATGGTTTATCTTTTTTTTTTAATTTCAATAGTTTTGGGGGGAAGTTTATCCTTTTACATTATCTTCTCTCTCCCACAAGATTAGAACCTCCAAAATAGTGGAAAGCCATTTTGTTTTGTAGAGACGGGGGGAGGGGTCTCATTATGTTGCCCAGGCTGGTCTCAAACTCCTGTACTCAAGTAATTCTTCTGCCTCAGTTTCCCAAATTGCTAGGGTCACAGACATGAGCCTCTATTCCCAGCTTGAAATCTCTCTTTTATTTTTATAAACTTAAAAAATTTTTTGTAAGGATGGGGTCTCACTATGTTGCCAGGGCTGGTCTCAAACTCCTGGGTTCAAGCAATCCCCATGTCTCAGCCTCCCAAAGTGCTGGGATTACAGGTGAGACACTGCACCCTTCCCAGCCTACAGTTTCTTAAGTGGAATGTTTAACTCATGTATTTTTTAACTTCTCTTATTTCTTGGTGAATAGAGTAAAAGCTGTAAATATAGCTTTAAAGCAGACCTCTAAAGTCTGTTTTGGCTCAGCTGCATGCACTTTGATATGTATTGTCATTAAGTTCTAAGTATCTTTTAATTTGCTTTATTATTTTCAGCAGTTTGATCATGATATGGTTGGGTGTGGAATTTTTGGAGTTTATCTTTTTTGGGATTCACGGAGTTTCTTGAACCTGTAAGTTTATGTCTTTTGCCAAAATTGGAGAATTTTCTGTCATTATTCCTCCAAATAATTTCTTTTCATTAATTTTTTTTATATTTAATTAATTAATTATTATTATTATTTAAGAGTCAGAGTCTCACTATGTTGCCTACGCTGTCTTTGAACTCCTGGGCTCAAGCAATTCTCCTGCCTAGGCCTCCCAAAGTGCTAGGATTACAGGCACGAGCCACTGTGCCTGGCTATTTTTCTGCACTACACTTTTTCTCCTCTCCTTCTGAGACTCTGAAAATGTGAATACTAGATCTTTTTATATTGCCACATAGTACCCTGAGATTCTGTTTGTCTTTTCCTTTGATCTTTATTCTCTTTTGTTTAGACTAGACAATTTCTATTCATCTGTCTTCAAATTCAATGACTTTCCTCTGTCATCTCCATTCCAGTTATTAAGCCATTCAGTGAATTTCTAAAATTTCAATTATTGTAGTATTTCTTCATTCTAAACTTTCCATTGAGTCCCTTTTTTATGTCTTCTATTTCTCTGCTGAGACTTTCTGTCTTTCTATTTGCTTCAAAGGAGTTCATACTTATTTCTTGGAACCTAGTTATAATAGTTGCCTTAAAGTGTTTGGTTGAGTCAGGCATGGTGGCTCATGCCTGTAATCCTAACACTTTGGGAGACCAAGGTGGGAGGATCACTTGAGGTCAGGAGTTCAAGACCAACCTAGTCAACATAGTGAGGCCCCATTTCTATTTAAAAAAAAAAAAAGTCTTTTGTAATTTGAACATCTGTGTCATCTTGGGATTGTTATCTGTTGTTTTGTCCTTCATAAAATGTTGAAATCTTCCTGGCTCTTCAAATGTCAAACAATTTTTGTTGCATCTGGGACTTTTTTTTTTCTGAGACGGAGTTTTGCTCTTGTTTCCCAGACTGGAGTGCAGTGGCACGATCTCGGCTCACCACAACCTCCGCCTCCCAGGTTCAAGCTATTCAGCCTCAGCCTCCCAAGTAGCTGGAATTACAAGCATGCCCTACCATGCCTGGCTAATTTCATATTTTCAGTAGAGATAGAGGTTTCTCCATGTTGGTCAGGCTGGTCTTGAACTCCCGACCTCAGGTGATCCACCCGCCTCAGCCTCCCAAAGTGCTGAGATTACAGTCATGAGCCACTGGACCCAGCTGGGACATTTTGAATATTATGTTATGTGATTCTGGGTCTTACTTAAATTCTTTGGAGAAGATTAATTTTTTTAAAAAATCAGACAATCGATTGTTGTATGTATTCCATTCAGGATTTTTACTTGCATTCAGTAGGAAAGGTGGAGGAAAGTGTGTTTACTCCAGCTTGATCTGAATCAAAACGTTTGGATTAATTTTATTAATATCAAAATTAAAATTATATTCAGTAAAGACACCACATAGACAAAGCTAACAGGTAGAGAGCAAAATGGGAGGTGATATTCGTAATGTCTAAAACCAACAAGCAGATTAATATATAGAATGTACAGAACAATTCTGCTGCTGACTATATAGCCAATTAAAATTTTCAAACAGGCATATTAAGGGAGGTAGGGAGAGGCAAAAAGGAAGAGGAAGATAGAAATAAAAGGATGGAGGAAACTGAGGAGAAGAAGAAGAAAGCATATTGATTCTACCTCTGCTCAATGTTTTTTTTTCCTTTTTTTTTTGAGACGGAGTTGTTACCCAGACTGGAGTGCAATGGCATGATCTCGGCTCACCGCAACCTCCGCCTTCTGGGTTCAAGCAATTCTCCTGCCTCAGCCTCCCTAGTAGCTGGGACTACAGGCGCGCACCACCATGCCCAGTTAATTTTTTGTATTTTTAGTAGAGACGGGGTTTCACCTTGTTGACCAGGATGGTCTTGATCTCTTGACTTCGTGATCCACCCGCCTCGGCCTCCCAAAGTGCTGGGATTATAGGCGTGAGCCACTACCGTGCCCAGCCTTTTTCTTTTTTTTTTTTTTTTTTTTTTAATTTTTTATTGGATTATAGGTTTTGGGGTACATGAGCAGAGCATGCAAGACAGTTGCGTAGGTACACACATGGCAGTGTGCTTTGCTTTTCTTCTCCCCTTCACCCACATTTGGCATTTCTCCCCAGGCTATCCCTCCCCTCCTCCCCCTCCCACTGGCCCTCCCCTTTTCCCCCCAATAGACCCCAGTGTTTAGTACTCCCCTTTCTGTGTCCATGTGTTCTCATTTTTCATCACCCACCTATGAGTGAGAATATGCGGTGTTTCATTTTCTGTTCTTGTGTCAGTTTGCTGAGGATGATGTTCTCCAGATTCATCCATGTCCCTACAAACGACACAAACTCATCATTTCTGATTGCTGCATAATATTCCATGGTGTATATGTGCCACATTTTTCCAATCCAGTCTATTATCAATGGGCATTTGGGTTGATTCCAGGTCTTTGCTATTGTAAACAGTGCTGCAATGAACATTCGTGTACATGTGTCCTTATAGTAGAACGATTTATAGTCTTTTGGATATATACCCAGTAATGGGATTGCTGGGTCAAATGGAATTTCTATTTCTAAGGCCTTGAGGAATCGCCACACTGTCTTCCACAATGGTTGAACTAATTTACACTCCCACCAACAGTGTAAAAGTGTTCCTTTTTCTCCACATCCTCTCCAGCATCTGTTGTCTCCAGATTTTTTAAT